CAGAGGCTCTGATTAGCATCAACCACTAACGGCCGGGGCTGACTGAGTGTGGGAGTAATTATTCAGTGATTGCCAGCGTTCACGTCTCGGCTGCTTCGTGACAACGGCAGATTTGCCGAGGTGACATCAGCGTCACGTGTCAGTACCTCATTCAACCGCAGGATCTGGGAGCGAGGCCGCGTCCACTCCCGTCGCCCTTTCATGCGGTGAAATGACGTGTGTCTGTTGCTGGTCCACAGACCCTGTACTCGCTGCTCCCAGCTCTGCTGGACTCCAACCCATTCTCCAGTGAGGACCACGACAAGGAGAAGGATGGAGACGGAGGAGCTGGAAAAGGCAGACAGGAAGGAGAGGTGGACGACGTGTCGGGTCTATCGCCCAAGGTCGCCGGGCTGGTGGAAGTTTATCGCTGTTCTCTCGTGCTGTCCAGGGAAGCACATCTGTCCCCCCCCCTGACCTCCCAGACCTTTGGTTACCTCTTCTTTTTCACCAACACCTCCCTGCTCAACACGCTGCTGGAGAGAGGTGAGAAAACACCACCACCACAACAACGCAGCCCCCCAGGGTCAGAGGTCAGACAGTGAAGGGCTCCGTCTCTGATTGGTCCATAACTGGTTCTTATTCTGCAGTGCCCCTTATTTTTATACTGTTACAAAACGTCAATCAAACAAATGACAACAAACTGAAGAAAATACCCCCGTCACTCCAACAGGTCGATGCCCACCGGGGGGGGGGGTGACATAAATCACCCTCTCATTTAAGTATTTCTTTCTTTTCTTCTTTCTCTGTCAGATGGACTGTTCTCCTGGTCCAGGGCAGTCCAGATCAGGACCAACTTGGATCTGGTTCTTGATTGGCTACAAGGGGCGGGGCTAGGAGACATCGCCTCTGAGTTTATGAAGAAGCTGTCAGTCACAGTCAACTTCCTGTGTATTCCCAAGACTCGCCTGATCCAGGTATGTCTGCGGGAGCCACGCCCCAGTCAGCACCGGCAGCCAATGAGCTGATGCTGTGTGTGTGTGTGTGTGTGTGTGTGTGTGTGTGTCATGTCAAACACATGTCCTTTGTTTTGACGTGACTGTCTGTGCCTGCTTAACCTCTGACCTTCCAGTCTTCCTGGACAAGTTTACTAGAAGACCACGCTTCGTTAAGCCCCGCCCAGCTGCATCATCTACTCACCAACTACAAGCTAGGACCAACCAGAGCTCCACCAGCATCGTGGGCTCCCCCTGTAGGCACTGAGCTGAGCGGAGGTACGACAAACTCTGACTGTGGCCAGCACTACTAGTAGTACTACACTAGTAGTACTACACTAGTACTACTAGTGTAGTACTAGTGTAGTACTAGTGTAGTACTGTGACAGACTCTGACTGTGACCAGCACTACTAGTAGTACTACACTAGTAGTACTAGTAGTACTACTAGTGTAGTACTAGTGTAGTACTAGTGTAGTACTGTGACAGACTCTGACTGTGACCAGCACTACTAGTAGTACTACACTAGTAGTACTATTAGTATTACTAGTGTAGTACTAGTGTAGTACTGTGACAGACTCTGACTGTGACCAGCACTACTAGTAGTACTACACTAGTAGTACTATTAGTATTACTAGTGTAGTACTAGTGTAGTACTACACTAGTACTACACTAGTAGTACTAGTGTAGTACTAGTGTAGTACTCTGACTCTCTTATTTCTCCAGACATCTTTGAGAGCTTCCTGGACCATCCTCCACTCATCCTGCCAAATGAGAATCCACGACTCGACCTCTCTCAGCCAATCCCAAGCCCTGAGCTCCAGAAGGAAGTGACACGTCTGCGCACCTTTTTGTGGGGACTTGACCAGGACGAGCTCCCGGCCAATCAGAGGACTCGCCTTTGAGATTGCCTGAGTCTGTCTCCATTAACGTCTCCCTCCGTATGTTGACGTAGATGTCTTCACATGTACTTCCTGTGGCTCCGTGTCAAAGGTGTGATGTTTGTTGAGGTCCATTAACATCGACCGCCGTGATTTAATAAAAAGTTCTAGACGTAAACGCTGGGTTCTCTTCTTTCACGGGGCCTCTGGGCTGGACGCTCACTGGACACTCAACCCCAGAGAAACAGTCCACCAGGGGGCATTGCAGGATCCCTTGGTCTTTGACTGATGACGATGAGTCTCCAGGTATGAGAACCACTGTGGAACAAAGGCAACATTTCAGACAAGGACGTGAGTCAAGCAGGCCGAGGACGCCGTGATGACATCACACACAGGTGACCTTTACCTACCCGCCGTGGTAAAGGTCACAGACGGCTGCTGTGTGGATTGTTCCACTTGTGTTCTGTAGCAGAATGACTCCAGTTGTCGTGAAGAGATAGCAGACTGGTGACATCAGCAGACGCCTTCCTGTTTTCACACATCGACGCTGGCGTCGTGCAGCGTTTCCTTTGGCGTTTGTCCAAGGAGCTTCCTTTCTTCCGGTCAGCTTCTCAGAAGAATTCCTTGATGGTAACAGACTAAAAACAACATCTGTGACATCATCAGCCCCGGCCCCCGTCCTGTCTCCTCCAGTTTCTCACTGCGCTGACTTCAAAAACACACCAGTGACCGAGAGCACTTATAGATCATGAATCAGCAGAAGAGCCCCCCCCTGTGGTCACATCCATCAATTAGCTGATTGTAATCACCCTCATTAGAAATTCAGTGCGGTGCGTGAGTGAGAGTGAGACGCGGTTTGTTGCTAACGTGTGCTAATTCCAACTTTCCAGTAACGCCACACAGATGTAGCCTGTTGTGTGTGATTGAAGACAGATGGCGCTCCGACCGCTGCAGCGCACGTCTGCGCTGGTCATCGCTGCAGTCGCTGACCAATGTCTGAGCGCCATCAAGGAGCATGTGACACACACACGGTTTACTGTGACCACTGACACAAAGAACACACACACACTTTCACCCTGTGTTGTCTTGTTTCTCTCTCACACACACACACACACACACAGGCTCCTGTACCCAGGTGCAGAGCTCCACACCTGTTGTAGCAACTCTCTGTAATTAGCTAAACACAATTATCACTGGTG